TGTGTTTGAAACACACACACAACTTGCAAATCAAATGAGTTAATGCTCTGCCAACTTCCTCGAGACATCGACCCCTAGTGTCAAACTCTTTGAAAAATGATGCCTGGTTTTCCAGTGCCCCGATTCCAGTCCCCACCAGCAAACTAGTCCTTATCTCTGAGTGGAGGCTCACAAAAGTTTTCTTGTTGAGAGAATTATGTAGCTGTGTTGCCAACAAAACCCTCTCTGCAAAATGGGAAGAAAAAGTTGTTAACTGATGAGTCAACCCAGCTTTTATAGCAGTTTATCTCCATGGTATTTCCAAGATCATAAATGTTATTTAAAAAAGAAATGGTCATGACAGGAAGAACTCAATAGAAAAAACAAGAACATTTACGCCAAAAGCAATTTACTTTGCCAGTAACTGGTTACATTTCCTTTGTTTTATTATTATTATTGCAAGAATTGGGGGTTGAGATGAAAGTTTCCCACACCTTCACCATTTTGCCACATAAACTTGTCTATGAAATCCACAGTGAAGTAAAGATATGTTAGCAACTCTAAGCTGCTAGAACATTTTTTTTTTTGCTATACTGTCAAGAAAGCGGGGTCATTATTTATTAATATTTGAGTGTGTTATCCCCCCAGCCCCCCCCCCCAAAAAAAAATGGGTTCAATGTCAACCAAGGCTGAGTCTCCTGGGATTAGTACCTTTAGAAATAGTGAGGACTGGTTTTCTCTGTTACCCAAAAGTGAAGCGTTTCTTTGAAACCTTTTGTATGCAGAAATGGCGTAAAGCAAAGAAGTAATTACCATTAATTCATATGGGAAAAAATTTTGAGTGTTCCCAGTCCCCCAAAAATAACCTTCTAAGTAACACATAAAACCTAAAATAACAGTGACATGTAGTGTTCACAGACTCAGTACAGAGCTGTGGCAGTGTGGTGCTGAACTACTGAGTATAGTTTCTGGGGAGGGAGTTTGGCTACATTGCTGCTTGGGTGTGGGCTGCCTCTGTACTGGCTTGATCAAAGCAGAATACTAGTTTCACTCTGCCTTTTTTCGTAAAAGCAAAAATTTCTTTCAGTTAGCGAAAACGGTATAGAAATAGGTCTTTTGTAAAGCAAAGCAGCATAAAACGAACTTTTGAAAGCTAAGTGTGGGGCATGGGAGTGGGGAGAAGAGTAACTACTTGTTAATTTCATGGTGTTGAGTGTGTGGAAGTTGTGGGGTGTTCAAGATTTTTTTCTTTAGCCAGAGATATTCCACTCTATAGGCAGAAGAGTTAGTGACCCACTATGAGGTAGAAATGTGCTTGTCACTGTGACTTTAGCCACTTGGTCTCTACGTTTGATAGGAATTCATTGGCTTTAGTGCAAGAGTGTCACCTGCTACTGATTGTGCACTAATGGAGGTACTGCTTGTTGTCAAGCCATTGGGATATTCGTTTGCTGCCTGGAATAGGCTGTGTTGCCCTTGTACCATGTTCTCTTTTGAGCGACCTTTTATTTGGAGAGTGTTCCCTGTTAATGCCAGGTTACTAATACAAATGCCTCATTATGAGACAGAGTGAACCTACATGTTTGTGTCTGTTAGAGAGAAGGTGCTTAGAACAGGGACTATTCTTTCGATAAGGAATTGGATAAAGTCTAATTGGTCGATTGGAATCCTTTTTTCTACCTGAAACCAGTTGCCCAACCTGAGACAGTAACTTCAACCTTCTCTCCAATCCCTGGTTTGTAAAATGGAAAGACTGGCAGTGCTTTCCTCATGGACTTCTTTTGAGTTTTTTAATTAGTTATCTGTAAAGCAGTTATTATAAAAGCAGCTGGCATATGGAAAGTCAGTGGTAGCTATTATTACTGTTACCTGTTATTGGTACTGAGCCTTGGTAGTACTGTAGGATAAGGACTAGACTGCTAACCTGAAGGTAGACAGTTCAGACCCACCAACCGCTCCATGGAAGACACAGGAAGCTTTCTGTTCCCATAAAGATTTGCATCCGCAGAAACCCTATACAAGGTTTCTATGATTGTACAGTACTTAACCACCACCACCACCACCATCCTGGGCTCTTATGGCTCCAGAACTTCTCAGATTGCATTAGGGAGTCATGTGCCTGGGACCCCTGGGACCTTGATCATCAGTCCTTTAGAGCATTGGCACATTGCACATGGGACAAAAGCTCTACTAAGAAGTCAGATGCAACAGTTTAATAGCAAGTCAGGAGCCAAAAGCCATACTTCTCCTGTTTCAATGCCTGTCACAAACTCAAGTCACTGATTTATGTTCTCAGCGTTTAAGAATAAATATCACAGGTGAATACTGTTCAACAAATGTCCAATTTGATAAGAACACCACATGGTCAGGTTGGCAGACCTGGCTCATGAGGAATTGAAGGATAAATGCGTAGGCACCTTTATTTCCATTACTCACTTGTCCATTCAACAAATTTGTGTTATGCAATGCTGCCTCTTGTGTATTGATCTGGGACAAATGGGACAAGAACCTGGCATGGTCCTGCGTTTAAGGATTTTCCAGTCTAGTATGATGATAAACCCTCAAACAAAACTATCATGCTGAGTAAAGTGATACATTCAAAGGAGAAAGACAGGGAAAGAGTCTAGGAAGGGACTACAAAGGTCCTTCAATTTGAGTCTCAAGCAGTTGGTGAGATTTACCTAACCATACTTGAAATACCAGTGTACGTGCCTTATTAGGATCAAATGACTTCTCTCTTGATCAAATTCCATTTAGAGTTTAAGTTGTGTTCTAAATGTGTAGTTCTCAGAATCTGCTGGGGAGGGACACGTGCTTCTCTGGGCTCTGAGAACAGCTCAAATAATGGAGAAAATAGGTACGATTTGGGGACGAGTGATTGTCGGGTTCTTGGAATCTGCCTTCTTTAAAAACAGCAAGCACACTGAAAGTTCTCTCTGAAAGGCCTTTGGGGTCTGAATGCCTTTCTAGAAACAAACATCTTTTACATTTCAATGCTATGCACCAAAACCTTTAGAAGAAAGGTCAGAGTAAGTAAGGAGTCTGAGAAGAGGCTCTGGGGTACTGTTTTGCTCCTTTTCACACAATGCCTCTCACCTACCCCAAGCTCTGTTTCTGTCAGTGTTTTGCTGGACTATTATTTTGATACGGGACATGAAAGTACATCCTTCCCTCAGAGTCATTAAAGTCTTAGCACTTGGGTCATTTGTGGAAACAACTTCTGTGCTACCCCAAGTCTTCTAGACAACATAGTCCACGCCCAGGCCCCAGGCTGTGTCAGATTCGTGGAACATGGCATCCCATTCTGTCAGGAGCAAGAGGTCAGGAGCCACTAAACAAGCCGGATGAAATCACCAGCCCCGTGAAGGGAGGTGGAGAGAGCAGAGCCCTCCCTGCCAGTCTGGCAACTCCGGCGAAGTCCTCTGCGCTCATCCCACACACTCGGTGCTAGTCACTGCTATGTGTTTACATGAGTAATGGAGCTGTGGGGGGAGGGAGTTGTAAGCCGAGCGCAGAGCCTCGCAGCTCTCATTTGGAGGAAAGCTGACATCCACACCAACATCCACATCAAGTCCCGACTTCCAGGGATGTGTTGGTGGAGCAGTCATATGCTGGACCGTTTGTGAACACTGGCACCAGCCAGTCTGATGTTTGTCCACTGGAATGGGTAATCGCGACTTTCTCTTCACTTGATTTTTGTTCGTGAGCTTGTTTACCTTTGAGCATTCTCTGCTTGCTTTCTGGGATGTTCTTTCGGACAAGTGTTTTGGGACTTGGGAGAAGAGCGGTTTGGGAAGGGAAAACCTGAGCCCCAAGCCCACTTTTGGAACTTTGGCCCCTCTGATTGTAAAGGCATCTCTGCTTTCCTGGGCTTTATCTACAAACAACAAAACTGTTAGCCCCAGTAGAGAAGCGAATGAGTTGGATTGACTGCGTTTGTAAAATTAGCAGAGCCTAAGATATCCTGAAACCACATTAACTGCATTACATAAGTAAGACTAACAACAATTAGGAGCCTTTCTGTTGTTCTAATCAGACCTTAAGGTAATAAAGTGTTGGCTACTTGGAAAGATTTGAAATACATTGTTTGGGAGTGTAGTTTATTAGTGTGGTATTGTCCCAGAGCTGTTTGGTTAGTTGGTTTATTTTAGTTTTCTTGACTTGAGTAACTGATGAAATTAAATGTGAAAGCTGATCTTGGACAGTCAGGACACTGAATAAAACGTCGCTTTTTTTTTTTTTTCCACCTCTTTGTGTGGATCTTAGAGGGAATCAAATTCAGTATATTGCTTTGATTTGCATGGTATCTACGGCTTTTAAAAAGTTTAAACTGCCACAGACTTACCCTGGTGTGGTCTTTGGAAACGATTCTAAATAATCCTTAAGATTTTCATACGCAATATTTAAAAAGAAATGAGAACATGCTGTTTTCATGTAGCTGCCAGATTTGTTAAGATTTAAAACACGCTGGTTACAGTGTTATTAGTAAATACATGTGATAATATTTTTCAGATTGTTTTTGTGAATGCCTCTCGGTGAATAGCAGTTCAGTCACCTATCATCTGTAAAATAATTTGGTGGCTCCAAACACTCCCCAAGTGAGATGTTTTCTAGCGTTACATTACCATGATACCATAATGGTCTGGCTTATCACTTTGTTTTTCATACTCCGTTTTCAGAAAACAAACAAAGAATGATCTCAGAGCCTGATTAGGGTTATCTTTCAATCCAAGATATTTCATTTCTAACAATGGGACACTCTACTTTCTTTAAAACTGTTCTTTAGAGCTAAGAGCTTCATTTTATTTATATTAATTAGACATGTTCAAGTGTAATAGAATCACTTTTGGGAACCAGGATGTAACCCTTCAGGGAGAGAGGCATAAAATGAGAGTTGCCTGTCACAGATGTGTACATTTTTCAGCACTGTTAGAGAAAACCACATAATCTGATGGTTGGGTCTTTAAAAAGGAAAGCCATGCAAATAAAATGTATATAAATTGCTCTCCATTTGTTTTCAGCGCCAAATCTTAAAGGCAGACCACGCAAAAAGAAATCATGCCCACAGAGAAGAGATTCCTTCAGTGGCGTTAAGGATTCCAACAATAATTCTGATGGCAAAGCTGTTACCAAGGTACAGTCTTTCATTCCATGGTGTTCATCTTACTGTATCTTTTTATTTTTTGTATGTCTTTCGGTTTTATCTCTGTGCCCTTATGTCGTGGTGGCCAGTTTCAATTCAGACTCTGATTTTGGTAGTCTGAGCTTTGGAGCGCTCTGCTATGTCTGTTCCTGTCACCTCCCCTCCCCTCCCTCTGTGTGTGGGGTGTGTGTGGGGAGGTGTAGGCATTTTGATTAGTCAACAGAAAGACTTCCCACCTCCCAGCTTGGCCTGTTGGGTAAAGGACAGATGATTAAGCGCCCACGTCATTGAGGCTGAGATTTCATAGTAAGTGACACAATGACATAATTTACTCTGCTCATATCAAAAATAGACCAACTGAACCATCCTCTCTCTGAGTGTACTCATCTAAATATGTTTCAGAGATTATAAGAGGATGAAATTAGAAATGGTTAGAATTAATCTTTTTGCTTCTGCTTTTTTCAAAGTCACCTCCAATTTACACTAGACTAAAAAGGCACACTGAAAGTTTTCATGTGTGTGTATGGAACCTTCGTAGCATAGTGAGCTGTGTGTTGGGCTGCTGGCCACAGGATCAGTAGTTGGAATCTACCAGCTGCTATTTGGGAGAAAGATGAGGCTTTCTGTTTCAGAAACCCTGTATAGGGCTGTTATGAGTTGAAATTGACTTAATGGCACAGTGTGTGTGTTGTACATATACATGTGTATATATGTCCTGGGGTGGCGCTGTAAGATAAGTACTGAACTGCTAACCACAAGGTCAGTGATTCAACCCACCAGCCTTTCCTTGGAAACCCTAAAAAGGATGACTATTAGTTGGAACCAACTCCACGGCACTTAACAGTATAAGTATATGAGAGAGCTTCAAGAAGTTCATGAAAAACTAGAATTAAAAAATAGTGGAATTTTCCCATGGACTTTTTGAAACTCTCATATATGCGTACATATTGACAGTGTTTTTAAATGTCTCTATTCGTATGGAATTAGAGTCCAAATTGTACGCTGTTTTTTAGGACTCCCTCTTTTACTTGAACATTTCTTAGAATTTTGAAAGTGCTGCCTGAAATATTTAGCACCAAGAAGGGTGAAGTGTCATTTCATAATTTTAGACTTATCTTTTTTTCCTTTTGTGGGTTTGGCTCATATTTTCATGGTTCCATCTGTTGGTGCTTGCATTTCGATGTCGTTTCTGTGCCAAGACAGCAATAGTTCCTTCAGACCCTAATTTGAAGACCACATTTCAACTGCACCATGTTTCCAGATCCAAGAACTAAACTTCTGAAAGCAGAAACATTTTGATTAGTAATGAGTTTAGAAGAATCTTATGTAGAAAAACAGGAATTCAGTCATGGAATGCCAATTATCTATGTGCCTGCCATGTACTTTGCTCTCTCCCAGTAAGGGAGTAAATCCTAGGCATTCACATTCTGACGTTATGAGCTTCAAATATGATTATTTCACCAGGAACTTTTGAGGGCTTTTTGGCTGAGGATATTTTGAAGGGCAACAGTGCAAAGAGTTACAAGGAGATCAACCAGTAGAAGTGTATCTTTTCCATTTTCTGGTTAAAATTAAACCTGCCTTTGCTTTAAGATGCTTTTGTTCAGCTCTTTTAACATTCTGGGAGTGAACTCACATGGTTACCAAGAAAGACATCCCTTTGGAACTATCTACCCAGGCGTTTGACTTTGGTCTTGAAGGATGTCAGCAGGAACGCTGTGATGTGATTGATAGTTTCCTTCAAGATGCTGCAGAATGGAGTTGAGAAAGTTTTAGAACCAAAGCATCTGACCAAGCTTGTACTGGTGATGTCTTGTGTTGGCACCCAGCCCCGTATCTTTAGGGTGATGTCATGTGTTTACTACAGCATGATCCGTACCTGCACCCAGCAGGATGAAGCTGCATCCCATGTCATTTGGAGTCAATATCAAAGTATGCCTCGAGGACTTTCTTTCCATGGAAGATAGCTCAGGACTCACACTCGGGCCCACAGAACTAAGCCAACCAACAGTCTGCTGTCCAGATGGGTTGTATTTGCTGTTCTCTGACTTTGCCTTCTAAGGAGGAATAATAGTCATGCTTGGATATCTATCAGGAAATGGTTAGTTCTTCCATTGTTGGTGTTCAGTGCTGAGTGGAGTTGAAAGGTGGAATGGATGAATATTCTGCTGCCTTCAGTTTCTGGAAACTGGTCTAATAACCCTGCTCTTCTCAGAGTCATGGATTACAATCCTGATTTCGTTGTTTCTGGTGATCCTGGAGAGATGACTTCACCTAGAAGAGAAAGATTGGCAAGTTCTAAGTATGGTGGAGTTGACCACTAGCATCAACAGAAAGGTGTAACATCCTCACAGAGAGAGCAAGTCAAGTGTGGGGCCAAGAAAGACATTATTATCCCATAGGGATAAGACTGCTTGTTCTTGAAGATGTTATGGATGTATCCAACCCCAGCACTGCTCTTGTCTTGGGTTATATTCTAACAGCAGATCCAGGGCCCTGGCATCTTTGTTGTTGTTAAATGCCATCAAGCTGGTTCCAACTCAACAATCCTGTATAGGGGCTCCCGAGGAGCAGCCTGTGAGCTTTAACCGCCGACCTTGTGTCCAGCACATTAACCCACAGCACAACCCTGTCTAGGGTTTCTCAGGAGCACTAGTGGATTTGAACTCTACCAACCTTTTGGTTAGAAGCACAGTGCTTGCCCTGCAGTGTCACTAGGACTCCAAAGAAGTGTATAATAGCTAAGTGCCACAGAGTCAGTTCTGCCTCACAGGTATCTGAGGAGCGGCTGATGGGTTTGAACTGCTGACTTTGTGGTCCAGTGCTTCTATTTTCTTAAAACAACAAAAGAAGGGATACCCTGATGTGTAATAATAGTCTTTCATTTCATCTCATTTGGCTCTTCAAATGACCTCCAGGGATTATTGTTAAATGCAGACCAGTCAGTTCTGACTCAGAGCCACCCTTGTATAACGTTTCTGAGAAGTGACTGGTGGGTTTAAACCACCAACTTTGTGGTTAGCAGTCTAGTACATACCCTACAGCGCCAGACCAGGATTCCCCAGGGTTTATTATAACCATTTTACTGAGGACAAGTTGAGGAACACCTAACGTATTAGTGACCAAATGGAGATTAGCAGCCTTGCTTCTTTACTGCTGTTTCAGGACATTTTGTTGATGCTTGAAGGCAAATTAGCTATAACCCAGTCCTGTGGAAGGATGTGGTTAATATCAAATAGCTGGTGGTTCACTGAAAACGTTAAATGTGGATTCTTTAATTAGCACTTTTTCAGTCACCTTGGATGTGCTATTCTGCAGAAACTCTAAAGCGCATAGCCTGAACTCAACAGGTATGTGGACTCTGAAAAACAGATTTTGTGATTGACAATACACATCAGAAGGTTCTGCTTTCTAAAGGTCAACAGGAAGAATACATATTTTGAGAGTGACACCTGTATTATCATAATTCAGTGGATTTGAGGAGACACTTTTCTTTCATTTGTTCAGAATGTTTTGGGTAATGTGAAAAAATACAGAAAGGAATTTGGTCTGGACCTACCCAAAATGAAATAATACTTTAAAAGCTCATCTGTGTCAGGAATGAGCTAGTCCAAGGAAGGAAAACACTGTTGTCTCCTTACCAAGTACCTGCCTTCCCAGGAATGTGTGCTGGTGAAGACAAGGAGGACTTAGGATGGAGTTTGGTAGGTGGCAGCCTGGCTTCCCTGGAGTCTGAATTACTCTCAACATGGTCTGTGTACCCCGTCCCTCTGCATGTTTCTGTGCAAGTGATGTGGCAAGTTAAGCATCAATGTGAACACTAAGGAGAAATTCAGAGATTCCAAGCACCACATGGGCAAGATTTTGTTATTAAGTGCCATCGAGTTGATTCTGACTCCTAGCGACCCTGTATAGTGTTTCCAAGGAGCAGCTGGTGAGTCTGAACTGCCAGACTTGTAGTTCATATCAACCTTGAGGTCCAGTGCTTTATCCCACAGCGTTTTGCCGGTTTTATATAAAACCCCAGACCTACTGCTGTTTGTATTGGCCAGGTGACAACACTGATGGACTCAAACGTGGCAACAGTAGTGAGGTTGGCCCAGGATCGGACATTGTTTCGTTCTGCTGTGCACAGGGTCAATATGAGTCGGTTCCGACTTGATGGCACCTAACAACAACTTCTGTTTGTGCAAGAACAGGCCTGAGTTCTGCCCCTCATAGCGACCCTGTATTGGGTTTCTAGGAGCAGCTAGTTAGCAGTCCAGTGCTTATCCTAGAGCGCCACCCCAGGATCCACATGACAAGTTAAATACCATTAAGGTAGAATATTTAAAGCCTACAGCACTCAACTAACCCCATGTATGTGTTGAGTGTGCCCAATATACCACAGAATAAATAATAGTTTCTTTAAACTTTGGAAATTAGCTAGTTTTGTCTTTTAATTATTATTGTATAACACATTTCTAAACTGTAAGCTTTCTCGTGCTTAGAATTAAGATATGCTTTGTCATTGGAAGTTTTGACAGCCAATTTTATTAAGAGTTTCAGTGAAGTATGAGGGTAAGTCAAAATGTACTGCTACTTGAGGTACCAGTAGCATAGGTAACTTAACGAATTTGGCTGCTAACAGCAAGGTGAGCAGTTCAAATCTACCAGCCACTCTACCAAAGAAAGATGAAACTTTCTAGTCCTGTAAAGATTTATATCCTAGAAACCTTATACAGGGTCTCTGTGAGTCGGAACCAACTCCACGCACTTCACCACGACCACCTGGGTTCCATTTCAGACATGCATGGGTTTATTTCAAACAAAATGCGTTTAAACATGTCTCTTCAATTGGTAGATGTGTGCCAAACAAATTCTCTCAGTAAATACACTTTTGTTAGTCTCATTTGGATGCCTTCAATAAAAGAGTCACTCAAAATAGTAGCTTGCAAAGGGTCGTTATGGGTCAGAACAAACTCGATGGCACTTAACCACAAAAGGGGATCTTTTTAACTGGTAGGCCAGTTAAATTCGAAGCAAAGAGGTCAACTGAGAAGGTTATGGCAACTGTTCTTTGAAATTTCAAAGGGATAATCTTGATAGATTTTCTCTAAGGACACGAGTTTATTAGTAAGAATTAAGAAAACTGAAAATTGCATTGGTGAGAAAAAGGTCAGGGAAGTTGCATCGAGGAATTTTTTTTCCCCCTCATGGTAGTTCCCCTGCTCATTCTTCACTCTGTAACCCTCATCTGGTCCAATCAGACTTCTTTTTATCCCCCAAACTCAAATAGCATTTTAAAGGAACACAATTTGTGTCCCTCAAGGATGCCCAAACTGCCATTTTGATATGGTGGTGGTTATGTGCTGTGGACTCGGTTCCGACTCATAGCGACCCTGTACAGGGTTTCCAAGGCTGTAAATCTTCACAGGAGTAGAAAGCCTCATCTTTCTCCTGCAGAACCAATGGTAGTTTCGAACTGCTGACCATGAGGTTAGCAGCCCGACTCGTAGCCACTATGCTACCAGAGCTCCTTGCCATTTTGATACAGTATAAATCAAAGAGCACAGAATTCTTCAGGGGGGAGGGTTAGAGAGTTGGATACACCACCTTCAGAAGTGTATAGCTAGATAAGGTGAGAATTCATAATTCCACGTTTTGTTATTTTTGTAGCCATGCTTTTAGACTTACCACCCCATAGTGTTGAAAACTACAAGATCCTAGAATTAAGAGTACATGCAGTCCCTGGCTAACAATATATTTGAGTTACAGTGATCCACACTTACTACCATCTGTTTTGGGTATTTAAAAGATTTTTTTTTTTTAAAGCATCTGATTGTTTGTAATATAAATTGCATACTGTGTTGAAGCACATAATTTGCTGATATTATCATTCTTGGATACTCGCTTGCAGACGTTCCAATATCGATTTATAAAAATACTAATAATAAGAGGCAATAATAAAAACAAACAAACCAAAGGAACTATTCAACTTAACATCAAAACTGGTTTACGATGAAATTAACTACCTACCTGTCCTTGGGCTCATATCCCAGACTCATTGCATACTAGGTGGATGATCTTGTTCATGTTGTGCCTCCGCTCTGTGCCTGTCTCATCATCCCTAAGGGGAAGATAGTAACCTACGTCATTAGGCTGGTAAGCACAAAGTGTGATCGTACCTGAACAATGCGCAGAGCTCAGCCTGGCTGCATAGTAAGATTACTTGAGGGAGCGTTTGCTTTGCAGCACTCTTTTTTTTTTTTTTTTTTTAACAAAGTGAAGGTCTGTGGCATTCCTGCACTGAACAAGTCTACTGGCGCCATTTTCCCAACAATGTATGTTCACTTAGTGTCTGTGTGTCCTGTTAGGGAACAATATTTCAAACTTTTTCTACAACGATATTGAGCACTTAATAGGCTACAGTATAGTATAAGCGTAACTTTTGTATGCACTGGGAAACCAGAAAATCCATATGACTTGCTTTTTTGCGATGTTGCTTTATTGCCATGGTTTGGAACTGAGCTCACCATTCTCTTCCAAGTTTGCCTGTACTCAAATAAGGTCAGCAGGCAATTGCAGAGTAAAACTGGAGTGATTTTATGATTTTTAAAAAGCCATTAAATTACAAATTTCATTATAACTTCAGAACAAACAGCCTAAAATCTGGCAGTAAAAAAGATGAGAACATCAGATTTCGTAAGGCATTCATCTTAATGTAATGTTACCAAGTGCTGAAGTTTGAAATCTTGTAAAAGAAACCTACATGGAAAAGGATTTTAATTCCCATTTCTACAGCCCCTTAAAAATTAAAATCTAGAGGCTCCGTTCAATGATCTGTACAGGAAATTTTATTTTTCCAGGACCAGTCTAGAGATATTAAACTAGCGTGTTTACTTGGGAGAATGAGCAATAAAGAGAGGCCTTACAGAAATGTTGTTCCCTTTAATAAAGAAGCAACAGCTTTTATGTTCTCGGTGCTTGGGAAAAGAAGATGTGTAAGGAAAGACAAGAAGGGGCCAGAATCTGGAAATGAAACATTGTCGACTATGTGGGACGTTTTTATTCACATTTCCCTAACACTTGCCCTCTTCTCACTGAGTGTTAGAGATGAAGATGTAAAGAATATTGGAATGTATGCATTCCCCACGGGTACACTTGAACTCACACCCTGACCCTTTGTACTTCCCCTTTTTACAATCAAAATAGCTCAGCAACTTAGCGTTATATTTAACAACTATCAAAGGCCTCTTGTGGATGGTGCCAGTAGGGAGGGAACATTAGGTTAGCAGCTCCATATACCCAGCTCCATGCTCACCTGAGTGTGGAAGGACGTTTTCTGGCCTGTTTATGTCATCATTTGTTTTTTAATCCCAGAGTTTTCACTAACATTTCTTAGGTTTTTAGCTGATGTCTACTTTTTCCTGTGGCATCTCCTCTATTATATTCTCAGAGTCCTTGGATAGTGCAAATGGCTAACACACTCAGCTGCTGGCTGAAAGGCTGGGGGTCCAAGTCCTTCCCTTAGGTTTCTTGGAAGAAAGACCCGGTGATCAAAATTTCCAAAAAATCAGCTGTTGAGAACCCTATGGAGCACAGCTCTATGTTGAGACCGACACATGGGGGTCATCCGAACATTGGGTTGACTGAACAGCAAATATATTTCCAGAGGCTATTATTACTCAAGGGTAGGCTCTTTTGTATCCTGCTTAGAGTGTGTATGGGTATAACCTTAGGATCACATATGGCTGGATCCTTGTTCCTGTTCTGATGCCAGCATGTCCTGGCATTGTGATGCTGTTGTTTTTCAAGTTTGCTGGACAGAGTATCCGAGACAAGTTTTACTATGGAGAAATAAATGTGCCTGTCATTTGTACAAAGTGCCAAATATATGGGACTATCTGTTACAGAAGGCAGAATTTGACAAAGGATATTCACTGATAAGGAAAAGGGAAGGAGAAAGGGACCCAACCAGATCAAGCACTGTTAGTTTCAGGTAAACATAACTGTTGAGCCTTAAAGAGGGTTGGTAAACATGGCTCAGTGGCCATTTCTGTAAATAAAGTTTTATTGGTACACCACGCCCATCTGTTCCCATGTCTTCTAGGACTATTTTCACACGACAACAGCAGAATTGAGTAGTTCTGACAGCGATTTTATTGCTTAAAAAGCCACAACTTTTACTATCTGGACATTACTGAAAGTTTGCCATGCCTAAAACTCTGTACAGGGTCACTATGAGTTGGAACCAACTCAATGGCGCTTAACAACAACAAATTCTAAGGCAATTCATATTCAGTGATGTCTGTAAAAAACTATGGTTTACTTAGTTTAGCCTTCCCATTCAGCAGGTGTTATTAGCAACGTCTTTATAAGAATTCCAGAGCTGTGCCTAATTTGATGTGCCTTATTTTTTCTTTTCCAGGTGAAATGTGAGGCCAGGTCAGCCCTGACCAAGTCGAAGAATAACCATAGTAACTGTAAGAAAATCTCAAATGAAGAAAAGCCAAAGGTTGCCGTTGGTGAAGAGTGCAGGGCGGATGAGCAGGCTTTCCTTGTGGCGCTTTATAAATACATGAAAGAAAGGAAAACACCAATAGAACGAATACCCTATTTAGGTTTTAAACAGAGTAAGTATACTTGTTTTCATTTCTGAAATATCAGAAATGTTCAGATTTTTTTAATTGGGGATGGGAGATGGTGAAAATGACTCAAGAGATTATGTTGAAATCCTAATTTAGGGCTGGCGCCCTGTGTTTATACTAAATCTAAAAGTTGTCCAAGCCAGAGCATTTTTCCCTGCCTCTTTCCGCTACATTGTTCCCTTCTGGGGCAGTTGCAGGGAGATATTTATAGGCTTGAATTCACTGATTATGACTGGAAATAGACATGTTGAAAGTTTCTCATTTTCTGTTTTATCAATCTCAAGTGTCTCTAACGCTTTTCTTCTGAGATAATAATATGACGTAGCTTTATCAGGCACAGATGTTGCCTGAGAAAAGAATTTTTTTTTTTAAAGAAGAACATTTAAAGGTGGACAAAACAACCACAAAGAGAAAACATTTCCTAAATCCCAAATCAGTTCACAAATAAAAATTTGGCTTCAGAGGAAGCAAGAACTAGTCAGATTTGAACAGAGGTCCCTAAATTTGAGTTACATTGCTGTGTATTTTAAGTCTCCATCATATATTTGTTGAGTAGAACAGTAGACTCAGAGCACAGCAGAATTCCACTTATAAAAAGAAAAGCAACTCAGATTCTCTTCTGATTTTGCAACAGAATATATATTTGCCTCTGTCTGGATTTAGTGGCTCACAAGCGATGAGCCCCTGGCTTGAAATATTATTTTCTCCAAACGTATCTTCCTAGATTAAAACCATGTGTCATTTTGATGAAGAATGTCAAACCTGTATGTTTTACGTAACAATTTACATACCTAATAGCAATTGGCGCTGATTGCAACCGAACACTCACAGCCATTACAAACGTACATAACGATGGATGATTACAATGTTTGTCTGAAAACTGGTTGCTTGAAATAGAAGTAAAATTAATGTACTATGAACAGCTTTGTTGCATTATGCATTGGTTCAGATTAAATCAAGGCCGAGGCAGGGCTCTTGATAGCTTTGAAATAGTACAAGGCTCAATGAGGCTTTGAGAACGTGGTGTGTCAGTCTTTTTTTGTTGTTTTTTAAAAAAATCCTATTATTTTCATTTTATTCTTAATTTCCCTTGCCAAGGAATTACGTGAAGTTCAATTAAATTAATTAAATCCATAGCAGCCCCATTCTATGATATTTGGTACAAATGAACAGGATTGCTAACAATTTGGCAAAGATGGTTCAACAGCATAAATACATGCAAACTCTGCAAAAAGAATCCTGTTCTATATATACACTTACACGCATTTATCCATGTGTGGAGGTATATAGACACTTACACGCATTTATCCATGTGTGTAGGTGTATATATCAGTGCATAGTTAACTTAGCGGCTAAGTGGTCTTATCACTCACTTCCTTTGTGAACAAATGTCTTCCTTGGGATCCCTTTGATCTGTTACATCACTTCCGCCTCCTGTTTGAAATATTTATCTTCCTAGTCATTGGAAGACACAGGCGTTAGTGAAATATGATAGGAGCCTTTAATATAGTGCTGCCATCAGTTAGGAAGGCAGTAATATATTGTATTGGCTATTATTTATTATGGAAAGCTTTTATCTGAGGAAAGCATTATATATTTAATCAATGTCTTCTAAGAGTTTAATGAAACCAACCCTGATTTTCAAATCTCATATTACCCCTGCCGCCCCCTCCCCCACCCCACACACACACCACCACCAAAGACCATCCCGATTAGCTTTGCTTGCTTTGTTGATGGCAACGGGACTAAAATTATGTTGTCCTTTATCCTAAAAGTAGAACCATTTCCGTAGTTTTGTGACTGTTTGTTAAGAAATATTTTAAGTAGTAATAATATATCCTGTTATGGAATGCCCTTTGGCAAATTGTTTCCTTAAGAACTTAAATCTCCTGGGGTTTGTTAGGGTTTCTTTTATTCTCTTTCTCATTGAAAAACAAGACAAAACTAAATGTTGTAATTGACATCTCTTGGAACTATGTTAATGCAATGCTTATCTAAATACTTATTGTCCCTCTAACAGTTAACCTTTGGACTATGTTTCAAGCTGCTCAAAAACTGGGAGGATATGAAACAGTAAGTGTTTAAGCAATTTAAATGAAATAATTTTGCAATCTAACTCCCCTCCCCCCACCCCAAACCCCAAAGTAGGAAACGCAAAAGCACATCATCTTGATTGCCCTTTCAAATGGCTCTACACTTTTGGGGGTTTATTGGGCTGCTTTGGAAACAGCCCCAATTAGTTCCAGGTTTGGCAAAATTGCAAACTTGTCGTAAAAACTACAAGTGGAAAACATATGTAACTCTCCCCTGTCAGGGAAATTAGTTGGGTCTGTAATTTTTTCCCATGTTGAGAAAGGGCTATTATTGTACAACAAGCCAAGATTGCATAAAAGAAATTTCCCTTGGCAACATAGCTGACATCTGTTCATGTCTAATATGGGGAATGTATTAAAAGCTTTCAAAAGTAATCAGTATTGGCCATTAAGGAATAGAATGCAGCAGAATCTTCTCTCATTCTAGGGCAAAGAAGCTTATTAGACCAGGGTCAATGCCACATAAACAGGAAGTTATCAAACTTATTGAGAACAGCCTCTGACACTCTTTATCAGCTAATTCAAACTGACAGGAATGGGTTATTTTTAGCCTACAGGAAAATTTGATGGCCATGGGTTTTACAGTGTGTATTTTCTACCAGTAAAATGTTAGCACAACAAACTAAGATTAAAATCTTGAAATAAGAAGAAAGAACTGCATTAATATAGCATACAGAGATGACATCTGTAATAAAATCAATTGACAGAGGAAGATGCCGTCATTGGAAATATTTTCTCCTCCACACAATGATCAGATTAAGTTGTGCCGTTCCTCCTGCAATTGAATGAGAAATTATTTTTCCCTTTCCTTACGAAGTAATCTGGGATATCTCTATACTATAGTAAAATGACAGTAAGAGACACAAAGTCGAGAAAATGAAATTATTTTAGCTGAAACATAATAGCCAGTGTTTCTTGCCAGATAAAGCATATTGTTCCACAACCTAATATGATGATGACAGGGTCTTGGGATGGGAAAAAGTGGCAAGCATTGTGCTGTTCAGATTGTATGGTATTTAGAGTGAGGCTATTTGCCATGAACTCTGACTAAAGGAAAAAAAAGAAAAATTGTTATCTGTATATATAAGCATAACGAATGTTATGTGCTATGTTTGGTATAGGTGTATGTATGTGTTCATAGGGGAATGTTGTTGCGTGCCATCAAGTCGATTCCAACCCATAGCACCCTTGTGCATCATTTTATATGGAAAAAGGTGGGGGGGGGGGAAAAAAAACCCTTGTAAAGATACGGAAGACACAAAAGCAGAAAAAAACTGATTCTGTGAAACTTGTTGGCACTCTGCCTATCACTTTCTGAGGAGCGGCTGGTGAATTCGAACCTCCGACTTGCCGTTCAAACCAACTTTGCAGTCTAGCGCATTAACCACAGTGCCACACCAGGACTCCATTGTAGGGGAATATCATACTCAAATAAAGCCCCTGTAAAATGTGTATTTCACAGACATGAACTTTCTGAAAATATTTTATCGAGTGTCCTATATAATTTTTCACTTGGTTGGGTCTGTTGATAGACCAAGAGATCGCCTCACCACTGTAGCTCATAGTTTTGCAAAATCCTAAGCTAATTACAGTGTTCATCCATGTGGAGAAAATGCTAACTCATTCAGGTTGGTCTCATAAATTTAGGAACCAACTCCAGAGCCCAGAGTTTGAGGATTAAGAATAGGAGTACACATTTTCTACGAACTATGACTGCAGATAGTTTCATGATTGCACAATATTATGAAATGTCTTTTTAAACCCAGGAACTTTTTGTTATTTGCTGATAGAGTGGCAGCAAGTTTCACAAAATCATTTTTTCCCCTGCTTTTGTGTCTTCTGTATCTTTACAAGGTTCCTTTTTTTTTTTTTTTCCCCATATAAAATGATGAATGAGGGGGCTTCACAAAATTTGTGGGGAAATTCCATAATTTCTTAAATCCACTTTCCCACCAATTTTTTTGAAGCTTCCTCGTGTAAGAAGGTACTTAGAAACTTCTCATCAGTTTCTGGGCCTTAGAGGTGTGCTTGTTAATCAGAGTATTTATACTTTTTTTTGAGACTATGTTGAGAAATCGTCAGCAACTCACTTGACTGAGTGAGTACCTTATTGGGCACAAGGCATTTGTGAAGGATGTGAAAATATCTAGGCCAGTGGCTCTGGTCTTTAACAGGTGATAGTTCTAATGATAAACCAGGTGGGGAAAGAGCAGTGTCCTTCCTCATGCAGAGATGAGGTAAGGAAGGCTCTGATGCCAGTAAAGCAGAGAACCACACCATGTGGAGCAGATGGAATTGAACAGGGATGATCATGGTCTTCTAGGACAGAGAATCAAATGGGGGGGGGGGAGAGAATGAGTAGGGAGTTCGAATAACATTAGGTAGAGTGTGAGTAACTTACGACGACGAGATGGGTGGGACAAGTAAGCACAAATGTGGGTCTTCAGAGAGATGAATGGAAAGAAGATGAGACCGAGTCGGGAAGACTCTTGCAATGCTGGCCTCTGGAATTATTTTGTCATCGGGGGCTTCCCAGAAGGTTCGTAGTAACATGCTGAAGAGTTGTGCTTTGTGAGTTATCCTGCTTTCAGTGTGTGCATGTAGGTGGAGAAAGGCTAGGGTGAGGGAATACTGGAAAGCCAGACTGGAATCTGACTTCCATCTGGTTAGGAGCTTCCTGTCCCTTCAGACAAGCTAGAAAGGACTGGCTCCCTCTGGCATTGCCATTTCTTCCTCCTGTCTCCACTCACTTGTCACTTCCCACGTTCCTCCTCATTCATTCTGCACAACATCCCAGGTTATTTTCATGCCTGTCACCAGTGAACCTACAAGTTGTTATTAAATACTATCAAGTCGGTTCTGATTCATAGCAATCCTATATAGGGTTTCCAAGGAATGGCTGGTGGGTTTGAACCTCCAATCTTTCAGTTAGCAGTCCAGTGATTATCCTACCTTAATACAAAATCTACATCTGGACTCAAATACTGGATTAGGCCCATTGGTGGGGTTTTGTCTGACCTAAACAGTGTTTTTGAAGAATTCTTTTCTTTCTTTCTTTTTTAAACACATTACACTATCTGTTGACCCTATAGGGACTCAAGTTTACCACTGCCATTCTGAATTTATGCTTTTGAACCTTCCTCCTAAGAACAGAAGGAGCTCTGGTAGCGTAGTCGTTACAAATCGGCCTGCTAATGGCTTGGCCAGCAGTTTGAAACTACTAGCCATTCCATGAGGGAAAGATGAGTCTTTCTGCTCCCATAAAGATTTACAGCCTCAGAAATCCTATACAGAGTCTATATGAGTCGGAACAGACTCCACAGCACATAACCACCACTATCACCTAAGGATGGAATACATTTTCAGGTATGTATTTTGACTAAGCAAAACCATGAGGTGTTCTGTGAAATTTAATTTTGAAGTGGATCCAAGAGATGTACAAATAATATTCAAAGTCTTAGAATTTAAGTTGTGATCACAAAGTTACTAGATAGACACTTCTCTGTAAGATTAACTGATATCAGAAATACATGTGGACAGATACAGTTAGAATCTTCTGTCTCTGTGGTTCCCAAAGGTTAATGATCTAGTAGCTAGTGTTCAGGTCATCAGTGAGGAAATCTGAAGCATATGTAGTTTTTGAGGCCTCTGCTCATGAGAAACCTCTACAAATACAAAGAGGCAGTTGTTCGAACAGAACAAGGGAACACAGAATGGTTTAAAATTAAGAAAGGTGTGCACCAGGGTGGTATTCTTTCACCATACTTAATCTGTATGCTGAGCAAATAATCCCAGAAACTGGATTATTTGAAGAAAAACATGGCATCAGGATTGGAGGGGAAGACTTATTAACAACCTGAGATATACAGATGATGCAACCTTGCTTGCTGAAAGCGAAGACAAAATACTTACTGATAAACATCAAAGACCAGAGCCTTCAGTATTGCACCTCAATGTAAAGAAGACAGAAATCCTCATCACAAGACCAATAAACAACATCCATATAAATGGAGAAAAGATTGAAGTTGTCAAAGAATTCATTTTGCTCAGATCAACCATCAACACACACGGAAGCAGCAGTACAGAAATCAAATGACATATTGCTGTAGGCAAAATCTGCTGCACAAGACCTTTTTAAAGTGTCAAAGAGCAAAGATACCAAGTTGAGGACTAAGGTTCGCCTGAGCCATAGTATTTTCAATAATCTCATATGCATGCAAAAGTTGGACAGTGAATAAGGAAAACTGTGGAAGATTTGATGCAATTGAGATTTTAAAGTACCATAGACTTCCAAATGAACAAACAGATCTGTGTTGGAAGAAGTACAGCCAATGTACTCCTTGGAAGCCCAGGATGGCCAAACTTTATCTCTCATAATTTAGACCTATCATGAGGGACCAATCACTGGAGAAGGATATCATGTTTGGTAAAGTGGAGGGTTG